CTTAAGGAATGCTGAGCGAGTTCGGCCCTTTTGATTTTCTGACTCTAGTTCCTCGCACATTTCATTGTAGTATTTTGCTTTGTCATTCGACTGCTAGTACTAAGTGTATTAATTATGGATTTAGGTAAGAATGTTTAGATCCAAGTAAGAAGACTAGATGAGAAAGAAAAAAATATTCTAATTACAGTTCTAAATACTTCATAAACTCTGACACTCATAATAAATTTCCAAATAATTTTTTTTAAATATCAAATAATAATGACCTGCCCACTTGGTTTCCAAGAATGTAAATCTTTATGGATGGAGAGAGCAATTGTTAGAGGTTTCTCCTGAGGAATGATCAATGAGTTCAAACCTTTGAGCTTTTGTTAGCAGCCTGATCCCTGAGCAATGCCTCATGAAGGCCTTACATAATAAATAATATACTGTTATTATCTCCTTGATAGTGATAAAAATAAAAGAGCTTTGGTGGCATAGTGTGTAGAATGTTGAGCTGATTTGAATTCACCAACCATTCTTTTGAACAAAGATGAAAGAGTCTTGTTTCCATAAAGATAAGCAACCTCAGAAGCCTAGGGGAGGGTTGCTATGAGTCAGAATTAACTGAAGAGCTGTGAGTTTGGTTTTTGGTAATGATAAAATTCAAATGAGTTAAGTAGATTGCCCAATGTTACATGGCTGTTAAGAAATGAAGGTGGAATTGGAACCCATGAAGTGTAACCCCAAAGTTCATGCTTTCAGCATGACCTTAATCCAACCTTTAAAATGTAAAATGTGGATGTTTTCATAAGTTTTAGTTATAAAGAGAGGCTAAGAGCCTTGTAACTAATAAATCATAGTATTTGGGATTGGAAGAAGAAATGTACTTTGTCAGATACTTAATAGGAAGTTTCCACTATTATATTGGAAGAAAGAAAAATTATACAGCGAATACATTTGACCCACTTTTTTGTGTGCCTTTTCATACTTAAAAGCAGTTATAATGTTAGATTTTAAATAGAAAATTTTTAATTAATCTCAAGCATTTAGTGTGGAGAAAATCATATGTAATGAAATCTTTAATTCAGTATATTTTTACTGCACATAAATTAATTCAAATGAATCTTAAAATGTATAATCTCAAAAAAGAATGTATGAAAAATGAAAAGTTAAGAAAAAAAGTTATAGACTATTATGGTAAAATTCCAGATACCCTTTTGTCATAAGTGTTTCTTTGCCTATAACATGATAAATACCTGAATTCTTATGAATTCCTCTTCCAGACCTTTGATAATATTTTTTTCAAGTTTTCCCCAGAAGTTGAATCCATGTGGTTCTAAACCTGGTGTTCTTTCCAGCCATGCCTGAAGTAAATATTACTTAAGGTAAATAAGTGATAATATTTAAAACATAAAAAGCAATAGAAAAATGTTAAATGAATTTGAAGCAACAAATGCTTTATCATTTTCAGAAGTATATAATTTTTTATTTGTAAATATTACTTTCACTTCAAGTTCTTATTTCTGAAATAACAAGTAATCAGATTTTGTTTACTAAATTACAACTAATAATATTTGGGGGAGCTCTGGTGACCTAGTGGTAAGAAGCTGCGCTGTAATCTGTTTGTTGTTGTTTTTGTTGTGTACCAGAGAGTCGGAACTGACCCACAGCTGAGCTCTTGTGGGTTTTCAGAGGCAGGAGATTGCCCATCTTGCTACTGCAAAAAGCACCTGGTGGCCTTGAACCGCTTGCCTTCAGGATTGCAGCACAACTTCTCCCCACTAGGCCACCAGAGCTCCCTGCAATCTGTTTACTACTCATTATTTCTTTTAAAATGCGTGAACACAATATGGATAAAGAATAGTGTAAAACATAATGTATACAAACTTTCTGAGAAAATAACAATTTTTTAAAAAAAACCCCAAAACAGTACACTAATGACAAAATTTAAATATTGATTCTTTTTTTCTTTTGGGCAACATTGTTTCCCTTTATTTGGTGCAGTAGCTGAAGCCTAAGCAAAAAGAAAATAAAGATATCTAACATCCTGAAAAAAAAAAGGCACAATTGCAGGAATCTCAAATGTAGTCATTAATTCTACAAACATCTCTAAACATTGCTTTAATAAGGTCTTCTGGTGGTTTATTTTCTGAAAATATTTTCTTTTCAGGTAGGTAAAGGAATTAGAGCACATTAGATTATGGGTTTTTTTCCCCTAAAGCCAGTTATTGCTTGATTGTTTAGTTTGGCCTGCCCACAAAATTATTTTCAAGATTCCACAAGACTTTAAGTCTAGATATGAAACTAAATTCATGCATCTCTCTGGGTTTTCAATCTAACATATTTTTAGTTTCTAAATTGGTTTTGTGAGTCTTTCTTTCCCTGTCTTTATAACACCTAATATAGCATTATCCATAAGACTTTAACCTAAATCCACATTTACAATACCCAAGAGATGAGTGTGTGCACAGAGTCTAATTTATCACACACACACAAACAAAATTATAAAAGAAAAGCTTTGTAAAGGAAAGGAAAATAATTTACTTTTTTTAATATGTTTATTTGAAGCAAACAAATGGGTAATAATTTCATAACATTTAAAGACCTCTAGCGAATTAGGCCAAAATAACTGGAAAAAATTCTTAAAAGTCTATTATTAAGGATTTAGGCTAGTGAGGAAACACACCAAACAGGTGGTAACTATCAATTATGGAATATTTGAAAAAATACCTTATTAAATAATTAGCAATAAACAGTTTAAAATGAGATACATAAAGTTTGAGATTTGTAAACGATCATTTTAATGAGATAAGAATGTTATCAAATTTTAACCTACAATTAACTATATTTAGATTTCCAACATTATTAGCAGAGATTTTTAAATTCCTTTTAATGTTGTATTTCAAGAAATTTGACTTTTAAAAAAAATAAAATAAAAAAAAGAAAAAAATTAAAAAAAAAAAAGAAATTTGACTTTTAAGTTAGAGTATGTATAAAAATAATTTCTGTTTTTGACTAAAGTGATGTGCCTCTAATAGGAATTTTACAAAACAATCTAGCAAATATTGAATTAACAAAATGCTTTAAACTAGGTTTTTAAGAAGATTTGAGCATATACCTCCACTAGTTGCAGAAGTGTTTTTTCCTGCTCTGACTTTAATAGCAGTTCATTATCTTCTCCTTTAAAATTATCACGATAATGTCTTCTGTTATAAGGAACTCGTAAATTCTGGAAAACACCTATCTTGTTTTCTAACAGACGAAACTGCAAACTCTGGAAGCCTGAGGCTGGAGATAAGTACTCCCTTTGAGAACAAATGAGAGGGAAGGGAAGAGAAAACAAAAGAAGAAAATAATTGTGAATTACTATGATGATTTCGTTTATGGTGAAAAGTTGTCAGTCTTATTCTATATTAGCACCAAAGGAAAATTAAAAAACAAACAAACAAAAACAAAACACCATTTGCTGCTTATTAGTCAATAAGTTTAAAGTAAGAAAGTTTGTGATATATTATAAATATAGCCAGGAAATAAAAAAACGTATTGAGATGGGAAAGTCTGCGCTTAGGGACCTCTCTAAAGTACTCAAGAGCAATGGTGTCTCTCTGGAGACTAAGGTGCGCCTGATACAGGCCATGGTTTTTGCAATCACTTGCTATGCATCAGAGAGTTGGACAATGACTAGGGAATATAGAAGGAGAATTGA